GCAGCCGCGGGGGGGAAGAGCCCGGCCCGGGCCAGGCGGCTGCTAGCCCGCGACTCCCACGCACCCAGCCGCTCTCCAAACCTTGCCGGAGTCCCAGTCCCGGAGTGGCGAGAGAGCGGGGAGAGGGGAGCGGGAAGAAAAACACCCCGAAAAGGCGAGCCCCCTTTTTAGAGTTGCCCAATATGGCGGTGGAAGGGAGGCTGACGAAGACGAAAATGATTGACACCGCAAGTCTATTTAACCAGAGGAGGAGATCTATTGGTTGCGGCGCCGGGAGCCGCCCAGCCCTGGCTGGCGAGCGGGGCCTTAAGGTGGCCCCGGCGCGGCTCGGCCGCCCCTCCGCCTCCCGAGCGCGCCGACTCCGAGAGCGCACCTCGGAGATTGGCTGGTCGCGTGATCGCTGGAGGTGTGCTGCTGCCAACAAACCTGCTCTGGCTGGCCCGGAGACATTCGAAACGAGACAAACAAACGAGCCGAACGGCCGGGGAGGGGCCTCTGCGGGGGCGCAGGCGGGGCCTTGGGTCCAGGTCCCGGCCCTGCCTAAGCTGGCGCGCCCCTTCCCAAGCCCCGACTCCTCAATCTCCTGGCCCCGGGAAGGAAGGGCTGGACCAGATGGTCCGTGGTGGTGCTCGCCACGCAGGGCTCCGGGCCTCCCGGGCGACCTTGTTTTCCTTGCGCTCGCCGCAGGGGAGCTGAGGGCGGAGGCAGATGGTGGGAGCGCAGGCTTCTGCTGAGCTGGTGCCAAGGGGGCCCCCACCTTGCTCTCTGCAGAGTTGGCCAGGGAAACCTTTGCAGAGGGCCAGCCTCGCACACCCGCTCCTGAATGCCACAGGGCGGTGGTGGGCAGTGGTCGCCTTAGCCTTCCCCCAGAAGTTTCAGTTCTCCGAGGAGAGACGTGGGCTTCGGGAAGAAGCCAAAGCTAACTAACTTCGTTCTAATGAGTAGCCCAGAGTAGGCGCAGCCTTTATATTGTCTTCTAAACCCAAGCACTCCCGCAAAGAAAAATAAATAATCTCAAGATCAAATGCTCGATTGCTCTCCCAAGTCCCTTAAACTTTGTAGCCAGTTCAGATACATTTAGTTTTGAAAAGTGAGGTGGCATGCTTGGCCTAGGTCCTTGCTACCCAACTCGACCTCCTTCTCTTTATACTTTTCAATTCCTTCACAAGTTCTGATAGTTTTGACTCTTAATGTCAGCCGTCAAATACAACAGCTTCTTCCCACAACCCACCCAAGAGCAACAGTCAGATGTGAAGTGACTGTTTTCAGACAACTGCAAGCTGTTGAAAAGTGACCATATTCCCCTAAGGATCAAAGTCTAGGTTATGAAGTGATGGATAAAACCCCCACAGCCATGTTCACTGCCTGATGTGATCAGGGCATTTCTCATCTCCCCTTTGTAACTTGAAACCTATCAATCATCTGTGGAAACAGGGTATGCACACCAGTAACTGCCTCCCCACTCACACTCCCAATACACATAATCCTCTTGGGACCACAGTTAATAAATTCTAAGCTCACACAACCGCTGTGCTTCCTTATGCGCCTGTACTATAGGACAGTTTGATTTTAACCATTGGAATATTAAATCTGGAAGGGACGTTGGGGACCCTGTGGTTCAACCTCTTCTTTTGACCTCTCAGGAAGCTGAGGCTGTGAGAAGTTTCCTGTCCAGGGACAGGAAATCTATTGGCAGTAGAGCCAGGACTAAGGCCTTCTCAGGTTCGTTTTCTGTTCTTTTCCTCATGATGCCATGACTGGTTTAACTTTTTGTCTAACTTCTCTTGTAGGCACTCATTTCCCACTCATGATTCAAATATGGCTTCTTCCTAGGCCATGGGCTGCCTGCAGATGTTTCCTTGATGTGGTCTGTGGTCACTGATATTTAAGTGTTGCTTCTACTGACCTTTGGTATCAACTATCAACTCATTCAAGTAAAATGCAGACTCCAGAAGGACAGGGGTGGGACCCAAGGAGCAGCTAGAGAGACAATGTCTAACGTGGTTTCAAAGTCCAGCGCTTCCTATCTGGCTGGCAGAAGAGTTCACCTGGGCGCAAAGCTAGAGGTCTTTAATTTCTTACATTTAAGGAAGGCCCCATTAATTTACTGGGAAGGGAAGCAGGAACGTGACCTTGCTTTAGATCTCATGACCTTGCTTTAGATCCTAGCCCTGACATTAGGTAATACTGGCTAAAATTTTTAAACAATTGCTAGACCACGAAGGAATTCTAGGTCTGAAATAAGTCAAAAAGTATTGCTACACAAAGACTAGAAACCTTTCTTAAACAAAAATGTCCCCATGGAAAACTATTGTTTCTCTATATAGCCCCTACCTATATCTCTATACTTCTGTAGGCCGTGTTTTCATTTCTCCAACCCCTCCCTGAAGAATCCTGACCTCTTCCATGGATTCCACATCAAAACGTCGTTAGGCATTCTCTAGGGACTCAAATTGTGTTCCTTCTCAGTGTTCTTCAAGCTTGAGGGATAAAGAGAAGTCTGAAGGGGTAAGACCAGGGTGTCGGGCAGTTGGAGTTAGGCTTTCCAGTGAAACTCTCTTGGGAAGGGTCTTGCTACACTCGAAGACTGAGCATTGTCCATGATGGGAAGAGAAGAATTACTCAGTGCACCTTTCCTGGCTTTTCCCTCATCGATGGAGTTTTCAATTTTCGTAAAACTTCTGCCTGTGTTTTGAGCATAAGCCCCCATGATCACCCTGTGTCTTTTGAGAAAAAAATCTAACAAGATCATCCCTTTGGTATTACTAAGAATGGGCATCAGAACCTTCTGAGCTGACCTTTCTGCCTTGGATTTCATGGGTCTAGCTGCAGCCCCCCAATGGGTTCTAAGACAAGTACATTAACAAAAGAACTATCCTGCAGCCATCCACTGATCACAGAGACATTTTTAAACACTTTCCTTTGGAATAAACTCATGCATGTCTGAATTGGAATCTCAGTAGCAATACTTTTGACTTACATGCATCGGAAAATTCCAAAACTCCCCCAAAAAAATCTAGAGTGGAAAAAAAAAATCTAGAGTGGTAGCTGGCCACGGAAATGTGATTTTATTCGTGGAGTTAACATCTTATGAAAATTAGAAAATGAATACTTCTATCTACTACACACACAGAACCTTCCATTTCTACATGGGAGCACCATTTTGTTGCTTTTTAATCTTGAGAACAAAACGAGTCACCATCAAGCCACCTTAAGAAATCTGGCAGTCAGCTGGAAGTCTGTGCTTACAGTACCTCACTCTGATCTAAAGTGTTTTGTTTACAGTCAAGTCACCGGAGATCTCTACCGCAAATAATGGGAAGGCAGGCGTCTGCTGTAGTATCAGCGACGCGGAAACAAATACTATGGAGTCGTAAGGCCGGAGACTCCGTGGAGATCAGAGCGTCATCCTCCTGCAGAAACCATGTGGCTGCAAAAAGTAACCAGGGAGAAAGTTTTTCAGACGCACAGTGTGAAGGCGGAGCTCTGCACGCCCAGTCCCCCGAAGCTGGTCCTTTGTGATGTGTCTGTTGTTTTCACTTCTGGTGGTTTCCTCCTTAGAGCTGAGACACGCCACACAGTCCACCTCAACTGTCTGTCTCTCACCTGCGGAGGAGCAAGGTGAGACCAAACTAACGTCGAAACAAAACACCTGTGTCCAATGACGTGCTGCTCCCAGATTTGAGTCCAATTCTGGGGAAGTTAAGGCACCCAAATGTCTCCCAGATGACGCCCCGTGTCTTTGCTAGATGTCTCCTTCTGCCACAGTTTCAATCCTTCTTACCCCTCCTTTATAATGGGAGACAGCTTTCACTCATTGTCACCATGCCTCTAAACTGACATACTGGTAAAGAATTTGGAATTTTCACAATCAGCTCTTTCTTACTTTTTAAAAACTTCATTTATACAACTATTTATGGAAAACCCTCTGTTAATTTATTAATTCTTTCTTTCAACAGATATTGTTGAGGGCTCACTTGTGCTGGCTAGGGTTAAGTGTGAACTGGGCTGGGCCATGGCTCTGTTACGTAACCATTTGGTGTACCTGACCTACAGATTTGGGATGTCACCAGCTCCCACAGCCCCCACGATGGTTTATGATTTGTCAGACCCTGCAACCGTATGAGTCAGGAGAAGCTGCCAGTTTCATACCATGCCAAACCCCCATGGATTGGGGACTTGCCTGCTTCCGTAACTGCATGAACTGTTACGGAACTGTATCCTTGAAATAAGTCTCTCTGTAGATGCATATTTAGGACTATCTCCTTCACTGGCTTGGATCCTCTAAAGAAACAAACCTAAGATATTTGGTACCAAGAATGACTCTCATTAAGTTCTGCACTGTCATGGAGGTGATTCCAGCTCATCGTGGTTTTAAAGAAACAAATCCTAAGGATGAGTTTTCTGAATTCATTCCCAACCTGACTAGTTAAAGGTGCTCAAGGCTCTACCTCCCGTAGTAAAGACTGCTAATCCGTTCATCTATAGCGTGGGATGGCAATAGAAATTTGCACAGTATCTCCACCCCTGGATCAAAAATTTGTGAGCGACATGCTCTGGGTGATTTTGTCAGAATGAGATGTATAGGGAACCTGGTTGGTCATTCCTATTTTCAGGAGACCAAGGAATGAAGAAAAGAGTGAGCTCATAGTCAAACACAAAAGGACAACTATTGTAGGAGGCCACTGTCATTTTTTAAAACCAAGAAAAATTTTTCATACCAAAAGAAAAAGACCTTGATGGTGACTGGGGTGGAAGGGGGAGGGAGGGAAGGGGAAGCAGAAGCAATCGGTTAGAAAGTAGACAGGTGTTAACTCGAGTAATGAGGAAGATAATATACA